AGGTTACGTTAGGAGTAGCTGTTGCGGTAGGGCCTGTTGCACTCCGGCCGGTTGTGCTCTGGCGCTGTGAACCAGTGCCTGTATCTGAAAGGCGCTGTTGTGGTGGGCGCTATGTGTCAGAAGCCGTGAAGATGCCCGGCTGCGTTACGCTTGGGAAGGTATATGAATCGCACTATGGACTTGGGCTATGTTGACCTCTAGCTATCCACCCAATGATTGCCAGCTGACCCTGGGAAAGCAGCTCAGGAAACCACAAAACTATCTGGCAACCAGAAGATGAGTGAAAGTAAAAGAAAATCTAGAATTACCCACCACCCATTGCCCTCTGAAAAACATAAAGCTGTCCAATCCAGAGAATGTCTTCCCACAAAGAAATAAGGATACTTTGGTGGAATTGTCATAGTTCACCATAGTCAAAAAGTTCACCATAGCCATAATAGCCAAAAAGTTCACCATAGCCATAATAGCCAAAAAGTTCACCATTTCTTAAAAGAGAAAATGTTTCGGAGTCCAGCTCCATCGTCAGTTCAAAACCTAGAACACAGGTACAAACAATTAGTAGCCTAAAATTCACATTCAAATAATTCACCTAAACTTGAGGACATTAGAACTAAATTCGAAGATAACAGAAATAAAAATGAGATAACATGTAGAGAAGGTACTATCTATTTACAATTTGTAGAGGATAGGAACTGAATGTGGCATTTAAACTGGGTTTCTGTTTGAAAATATATATTGATTCTAAAATTCGTAGGTCAGGAACACCGGTTGTGGAGGTTAAAACTCTAAAATCACTATTGGACACCGGGACGTTGCACTGCTGGGCATGAATACGTACGGCCGAATGAGGAGGATGCGCAAGTATGTTCCCTGTTCTATAACTCCTGCCCCTATGCTCTGCAAGCCTAGTATACAAATCGCGCGATGTCATACCAACATACGCAGATGCGCACTGCGCACAACTATATTGATAAACTAGGGATGATTGCATAAGAACAGGGAGGGGATCTTTGTAGTTGAAAAAGGAGCTAATTTTAAAATTGTTAACTAGCAATACATTAAGATTTACATTCAGGAGGTATTTAGAGAATAGATCTTTTAACTCCTTTGCCATCATCTCAGATGAGGGGCCAAAGTAAGGAAAAGAACAATAAACATCGATTCCTATTGTCACATTCGGGAACCACCTCAGAATATTGTTTAGACAATAATTTCTTAATTTGAGTGTACTCCATGGTAACTGACTCCCTTAGTAAGGCACAAGCTTTTTCTCTCTACTATGAAAAAATCTTCAAGTGTCCAGCCCCTTCTCCCCACCCTTCACTGGTTGTCCTTCCCCTGGCCTTGGCTCTGAGTGATGAATCTGAATCACCATTGAATGAGCCTTTCTCTTCCTACGAACTACAAAATACTATCAAGTTGCTAAAAAATACATCTCCAGGATTGGATCACATCCATAATGCTCACCTTTCACACTTGCCAGAAGACTATGGGAGGTGGCTTCTCAGTATTTTCAACCAAAGCCTCAGCTCTTCCTCAATACCAAAAATGTGGAAATTGGCCTTAATAGTTCCTATCCCCAAACCAGCTAAAAACTTGACCTTCATTGCATCTTACAGACCAATATCACTCTTGTCATGCTTGGGAAAATTGCTAGAGTTGCTAATAAACAAACGACTGTGCTTCCACCTAGAACAGCATGGCTCCCTCCGACCTTCCCAGGGAGGCTCCCTCAAACCTTCTCCCTCCGACCTTCCCCTTCCCGCCTAGCGACAGTCTATCAGGTTGCCAGGTTGGAGAGGAGCAATCCGTGCTCCTCTTGCCACCAGGTTAATCCTCCTGGTGGTGTTCTGTGACCTATCAAATGCATTTGACCGAGTGTGGCATACAGGCCTGCTCTACAAACTCGGCCAGTGTGGGGTTTGGAGTAAAATGTTGTGTTAGGCTTAATACCAAAGACAATTAACATGAACGATTTTAATTCGAAAACGTCGCCCCTCGAAGCTGTTTGGCGCCTGCCGCAGACGACATTCTCATATAAAATAAAAGCTTGAGCTTGAGAAACTTTTGTCCCAACGTAAAAAAACAAAGCCCAACATAACTGTAAAAGAAATGAACGAAACAATAGAACGCAAGCTATGTAACAGTAATTAATATTCAAAGAAAGGTTTCAACAATGGCGCAAAGGCAAACTAACAATGTTTCAAATTGAATCAAGCAAACACCTCAATAAACAGGTACCATAAAATGGGGTTACTTTGACTCCCAGGGTAACTTTGACCACTTTTTGTTTTTTTAACAAAAACCCCCAAAACTCAAAAACTATTTGACATAGAAAAATTTTGTCAATGGCCAAAAAAGGCTTAATACTTAGGCTACGTAACACAATAGAAAGATTGAAAAGGTTTGCATATCTAATAGGTTAAAAAATTAAAAATGTGACCCACGAAAAAGAGCTATTATATAAAGCCTGTCGGTGTACCCCCTCAAATTTTTTTATTTGTTGGTAAAATAACTCCAGGTTTTGATGCATTGTATTAGAACTCTCCTAATTACATATACAAATGACAAATTTTAGGAAAGTGTCATAGTTTGCAAATGGGGGGCACTGCACCCCAATGGGGAACTTTGACCGCCTAATGGCAGCCATGACAGGGTAACATTGACCGGCTTGGAAATTAAGTTAAAATTTCCATGGGTACCTATATAACATATTTTATGTTTGATACACCTATTAAAGGTTTTTTTCTTTATGTTTCAGACTCTAGAGAGTCTTATATATGGTAATTTTAGCTTGATTTCCAAGCCAGTCAATGTTACCCCATCACGGCTGCCATTAGGTGGTCACATTTTGCCCATTGGGGGGTGGCTCCCCCAATTTGCAAACTATGACACTTTCCTAAAATTTGTCATTTGCATATGTAACTAGAAGAGTTCTACTACCATGCACNCTTTTTTTGAAATTACATCAAAACTATGAGAGGCAGGAGCCAGCAATTTATGGTGAGTGAAGCTAGAGCATAGACCTGTATTTTGCATGTTTCAATTTAAGTTTAACTTGTCTAGTAAAAAAATGGCATCATTTTGAAAAAAAAGGTCAAAGTTATCCCATTTTATGGTAATTGAATGAAGATTGAAGAGATTCTTCCGTATAGCAGGAGTCGGACAAGCCCCTCCGGAGTTGCAGTTATTCTAAAAAAATAGAATGCTACCGCTTTAAATCCAGTAAATATGGAATTGTATAACTTGAGCTCAATTATTTCTCAATATAACATTAATTGCAATCCCTAAACCCACCTTAAAATTTTTAGCTAAGCTAAAGATTTTAAGGTGAATTTTAAGCTGAAATTCTGAGAGGCATTTTAAGTGGCCATATAAAGGGAAATTAATTAGTAGGTGAAAGGCAGACTCCGACCTACTTATAGCCCTAGGCTGCCGAAAGACAACCCCTGTCTCCTCTATGAAGGTAGAGGCTAACACTCCTCCCCTAACCTTTCACCGCAAAGAAATAATGTATAAATATTATCTATGCCTGATACAGCTGCCCCAAGGTCCTATCATGTCTGAGCTGTTCAACCCAAATGTGTCACATATCATGCCATGGAGAATGAACTTATTGCCAGTTTTGTTCCCCATAAATCAAGAAATCTTTACCTCACTACAAATCCGGGTCCCTCCTCTGCTTAACTCTCCTTTAATCTCCCCTTTCCCCCCATGGTTCAATTCTGATGATTTCTTCACTGTAGATTTTTCTCCCTCAAGGCTTCAACAGTATCAGACACATCCTCAGATGCTGCTGTTCAATTTTTTTCAGAACTAGTTAACTTCAAATGTCCTAGGCACACAGCTATTTTCACAGATGGTTCCCACATAGCCACTCTAAACCACTCTTCTTTTGCTGCAGTTTCCATACCCTCCAAAGGGGTACTACTAAGTTGGAAACTCCACCCTGAAATTCAGGCAATAGAGTCAGAATTGTTTGCAATAAAGGAAGCATTATATTGGTCACAAGTAAACTTCCTCCACTCTGAGAATATTGTCATTTTTACTGATACACAATCATCAATTTCTTGATTAGAAATAGGCAACCTGAATCCTATCTTAGTGTCGGGGAAACCAATGTAAGCCCGACCGTAACTTACGGGATCGTCCCGTAGCTTGTAGTTAGTAAGTAATGTTAGTCCATTCGTCTCATTTATGTCATTCACTCTCAAGCAAGCGTCCATATCACATGTTAACTATTCCATCTGTGTCTCGTCATTCATGTGCCTGTTTATACGTCATGTGTAAATAAACCATTCTAAACCATCGCCGTCTTATAGAACCTGGGTTTATTCCATTAAATAGCAAGCCCTAGCTATACCATCCGCCACATAATTTTGGTGCCGTAACATTTCTGTGCTGAAAGATCAGTATGTCGGCGAACATCAAGAAGAGACGGGCAGGACACAGACTTCACATCAAAACACTCCTCAATAAAGTTGCAGAAGAATTGCAAAAATCTGAACATGATGCGGAAATGTGCCGAACGTGGAAAGAAGAAATCCAACGTCAGAAAGAAATCATCACAGATATGGACATCAAAATTCAAGAGACGATCAGCGAAGAGGATGATTTGAACGCAGAAATTTCAACATCGTCCGAATTAAATATGGAAATCAATAAAGCACTTGCATGTATCAATGCAAAGCTAACCCTGTCGAAGGAACTTGCCAAGCCGAACATCAAAACGGTGAAATTGCCGAACATCTCGCTTATCAAGTTCACCGGTGATCCCCTACAGTGGTCTAACTTTTGGGACCTCTTCAAGACATCCATTCACGAACGCACTGACATAGCTGCACCAGCTAAATTTCATTACTTGACCAGCCAATTATCAGGCGCCGCTGCCAATCTTTTGGCGGGTTTTGACAACACAGAAGCAAGCTATCATGAGGCTGTGTCACTCTTGGAATCAACATACGGCAAGAAGCGAATCCTCATACAAGCACGCTTGGATGCAATCTTGGATCTACCATCACCAACGCCTACCGTCGCTGACATAAGCGAGTTTCGCAGTCAATACGAAGGACATCTTCGTAGTCTGAAATCTCTAGGATGCAACATCGTAGAAGCAGGATACGTCTTTGCAGAAATATTAATGCGGAAACTTCCACGAGAGACCAGAGACCATCTCAACAGAGCACACAAATCATCGACTACGTGGGAATTAGAAGACCTCAGGGCCGCCATCACCACGGAACTGGAACACCTGACTGCCTACGAGGGACAACAGCAGCAACAGAAGAGACCAATTCGGGACTCTGCACCTCCGAACTACCCTCATCAGGACAGTAACCATGACAAATCTTATCCTAAATATTCAGATGCTAAAAACTTGTCAATGTTACCAGCAGCTAGTGCTTCTTTTCCTGTAACGATAGCCAAGAACAAGATTTCATGTCTATTTTGTAAAGGTAATCATCAAACGTATGCATGTTCCAAATTTAAAACTCTCGACTCGAGACGAGCTTTCGTCCAACATAACAAACTGTGCTTTAACTGTTTACGCTCTAATCATTCTGTCACTGTGTGTACAAATACAGGTAGATGTCGTCATTGTAATAAGAAGCACCACAGTACCCTGTGCACGCAACAACGGGGACACGCAACTCTCGCCGCGCCCACCGGTAAGCCAGCGGAGGCGTCCACAAGCCAGGTTGGTGATAAAACCACATCTATGACTGTTTTGAATTCTAACTCAAGCGATGCATCGCAGATCTTACCAACAGCTTTGCTTTCAATATCGCACACCCTTGATGCCAGAGAAAGTTTCAAATGTAAAGCTCTGTTTGACACTGGTTCACAAAGAACATTCATTAGTTCGGAGTTTGTTGAAGCTAATAAGTTAAAAACTGTATCCGAAATCACCATGGCTGTGGACGGCTTCGCGTCGATGGGTGCGGAGAAGTCTTATCCTATTGTTGAATTCGTAGTATTGTGCAAAGATGGCGATAAAATAACTATTCGAGCAATTGTTGTCGATTCCATGCCACGCCGTCTCGCGATGGCTGGTAGAGCGAAGGTTATAGACAGATTGAAGGCATTTGGAATGGTTTTGGCTGACGATTCGTCCACAGACGATTATTCAGATCTAAGTGTAATTATTGGAGTTGATAATTATCACAAATTCGTTTACGGAGCGAAAATCTTAGAAGACTTGTATTCAATTCAAACCAAGGTGGGTTCTCTTGTCGTTGGGAACGTCAAAAATTCAGGCAAAATCTCTACAGTCACAACTGTTCTTAAAGTAGCGTCATTTGACTCCTCCAATGACTTGAACGATTCATTAAAGCAAATGTGGGAACTTGATGCAGTTGGCATTAAACCACCGATCGAAGACGTATCTGACTTGTCAAAATTCAGAGATAGCATTTCGTACTCGAACGGCAAATATTCAGTAAGTCTCCCTTGGAAAGCCAATCGTCCGCCACTTCCAACCAATAAAAATCTTTCTTTGAAAAGGCTCGATAGTCTTCGACGTAGCCTTGCGAAGGAGCCTGCCATGATGAAAGCCTACAATGATGTCATTAAAGAGCAAATTTCACTAGGATTTGTAGAAGTGGTCGATACTGCTACCAACGCTAATCAAATAATTCATTACTTGCCGCATCATGCAGTCAAGAAGAACTCTGTCACTACCCCATTACGAGTAGTATACGATTGTTCAGCTAGAATATCCAAAAATCATGCGTCACTTAATGACTGTCTAGTGACTGGGCCGCCCCTTTTAAATGATTTGACCAGTGTACTTCTTAGATTCAGACTGCATCCCTATGCCTGTATTTCAGATATCATGAAGGCATTTCTAATGATAGGCCTAAACGAAGTAGATCGCGATGCTTGTAGATTTTTTTGGCCTAAAAACCCACTTGACGAAAACAGTCCGATATTAACTTACAGATTCAAAGTAGTTTTGTTTGGTTCCACAGCAAGCCAATTCTTACTTAACGCGACAATCCGCCATCATTTATCGGAACTGAATACAATCGCTGCTAAATCAATTCAACGCAACATATACGTAGATAATGTTGTAAATTCATTTGAAACTGAAGCCGAACTTGTGGAGTTCTACGCAGCCAGTAAAGCACTCATGGGGAAAGGTGGCTTTACCCTTAGAGACTGGCGATCTAACAGCCGAATTCTTAACGATCTAGAGCGATGCACATCTCAAACCCATGATCAGTGTAATGTATTGGGATTGCAGTGGGATACCGAGACGGATACCTTGAGCCTTGGTTCATCTCTCAACTTAACCATGTCTGTAACAACGAAACGATCTGTTGTAAGCCAAGCATGTAAACTATTTGACCCGTTAGGATATCTGTTGCCGATTACGATTAAGAGCAAATTGTTGATTCAGGACCTTTGGCGAGAGGAGATTTCTTGGGACGAGCAGCTTCCAGAAAATTTTCAAATGCGTTGGGTTTCGTACATGAATCAATTACAAACTCTGTTGCCTCTTCAGTTTCCTCGCAAAATGCAAACTTCATTTAACAATCCACAGCTGCACATATTCGCAGATGCTAGTGCACGCTCTTATGGCGCAGTTGCTTACCTAGTCGAAAATCATTCCGTGGACTTTATCATTGCTAAATCAAGGCTTGCTCCCATTAAATCCCCATCTCTCCCGCAACTAGAGTTAACTGCATTAAATGTAGCCGCGCGCCTTGCCAAATTTCTGTGTACCACATTTCAATTGGAACTAACGATAAGCCAGATTTATCTATGGACCGACAGCGAAATTGCCGTGTCCTGGGTCAAGAATTGCAGATCCAACAAAAGCTATGTTAAGCAGCGAGTAGCCAATATTCACGACTTGTGCCCTAATGCTATTATTCACCATGTACCAACCACAGATAATCCTGCTGACCTTTTGACCAGAGGCATTTCGGTCAACTCCTTTCTCAAATCACAATTATGGCGTCAGGGTCCGATTTGGTTAGCTAACCGAAATTGGCCAAATCAACGTTTAGAGTTTGAAAATTTGCCAGAGATCTGTAATGTTGCAACACAGAAACTACCGGACCCTGCACCCGAATTTCCCGTTAAGCTCGATAATTTCAATTCACTAGGCAAAGCAATCAGAGTTGTTGCATGGGTGTATAGGTTCGCCCACAAACTGAAGCAATGCTTACAAAGGGCCGATTCCATTCCTCCCTCTGGAGGCCGATTATCTTGTGGTGAACTACGATCGGCAGAAGTAAAACTAGTCCTTGCCAGCCAGCAAGCGACGTTTGCCGAAACTTTGTCCTTTCTAAGAGGAGAAGGTAAAGCTAAGATTACAAGCATTGTGCGTCAACTTGGGCTTCATTTAGATTCGATTGGCATTATTCGCTGTAGAGGAAGAATAGCGCGCGCAGAGCTAAGTTACCAAGCTAAATTTCCAATTCTGTTAAGCAAAAATTCTAGACTTACCGAGCTAATATTAAGTGATATTCATAGAATGCATCTACATTGTGGACTAAATGAAACTTTGAATTATTCACGACTGAGGTTTTGGATACCTTCAGCTCGACCACTTATCAAAAAAATCTTGAAATATTGTGTTACCTGTCGTAAGGTTCAATCGAAACCCTTCCAATCTGTAATCGAACCCCCATTGCCTGAAGAGCGCATTTCAAAATCAATGCCTTTCCAAATTACAGGAATTGATTATTCTGGTGCCATCACAGTCCGGGAGCAGTCGACGTCCACAAAGGTGTACATTGCTCTGTTCACATGCATGGTTACCAGAGCCGTGCACTTGGAGGTCGCGGGCAGCAACTCTGAAGAAGATTTCTTGAGAGCTTTCATAAAATTCGCATCCAGACGATCCTTTCCGAGTATCGTGTACAGCGATAACGCAATGAATTTCGTCAGCGCTTCAAAGACGCTCAAAGACATTGCAAACTCCCAGCTGGTTTCATCGGCCTTCAACAACTACCAGGTGGAGTGGCGTTTCATCACCCCCAGGGCCCCTTGGCAAGGAGGTGCGTGGGAAAGGATGATCGGCATCACCAAGACCAGCTTGAAGAAGATTCTGGGAAAGTCTCTGGTAACACGCCAAGATTTGGAAACGATCCTCGCTCAGATAGAAGCGAAAATCAACGACAGACCACTAACTTATCTTTCCGAAGATATAAACGATTTGCAGCCCTTAACACCTTCACTATTGATTAATGGCCGCCGAATAAAAGAATTTCCAGATCCAGTCGAAATCGAGGACATTCGTGACCCATCTTTCCAAGAAAAGGCAATTCTTACCAAATGTTTGACTCATAATCAACTTTTACTTCAAAATTTCTGGAAGCGATGGCACTCTGACTATCTTCTTTCTCTGCGTGAAAGATCGCAGTCCAACAATGTTGCTCTGAACAATTCTATTAAGATAGGAGATATAGTCCAAATTCATGGTGACTCTCCCCGTGTTAACTGGAAATTGGGAAGAGTCATTGCCTTCATAACCGGTAGCGATAACCTTGTACGATCGGTAGAGTTAGTTACGGACTCTGGGAAAATTATTAGACCTATTACTAAACTGTATCCTTTGGAGGTTACCGCGAATACCATCCAACCTGAGGCAACCGTATCTACTGGAACCTCAGATCCCGCGACTAGACCACGCCGTCTAGCTGCTGAGAAGGCTCTTGCCTTGATTAAGAACTCAATTTAGTATTACGATGTATCTTTAATGTCAATAATTGTAAGCATGTTTAACGTTGTTTAGTCTTAACGCGCATATAGTTGTGTATTAATCGTAGCTAATTGCCGGCCGGGAGGATGTCGGGGAAACCAATGTAAGCCCGACCGTAACATACGGGATCGTCCCGTAACGTGTAGTTAGTAAGTAATGTTAGTCCATTCGTCTCATTTATG